ACCACTCTGGGCACAACCAGGAAAACTCCTCCCCCCGCCCCAGGGCCCTTAAAGGGGTCGAGTCCGGCTACTGGGCACGTGCCAGCTACAGGTCTGCCTGCACACAGCAGCAGTGACAGCCCCTTGCCCAGTGGTCAGACCATGAGCCAGGCATCCAGTGGCAGCCAACCGTCCCCCACCCAGTCCCCCAGCACCCAGAGGCCAACCAGGGGCCGTAGACGGCGCGCGCCCTCCTGGACTGGTGCGGAGATCATGGACCTCATTGAGGTTTGGGGGAAGGCCCCCAATGTTCATGATCTCTTCACCAGGTGGAAGAACGCAGCCGTCTACGGACGCGGAAGGGCCACAGACACACCCAGTAGCTGGTGCGCCTCAAAATCAAGGAGCTGCGGTAGGCACATGCCAGGGCCACGAGGGGCAGTTCCACAGTACGGGCTGACACTTGCCCCTACTTCCATGCCCTCGACCACATCCTGGGGGCGGGATGGTCCACACCCCTCCGTGGGGGCAGGAGGCCGGGACCGGAGGGCCCTGACCTGGGCATGGCAGAGGTGCCAATGCAGAAGGTGCCACGCCACCGGGATCCTCAAGCTGTCCCACACCGGAGTCAGCAGGGTCGTTCGGGGAAGCCACAGCCGCAAGTGCCATCACTGTCCCCTACTCGGGGGGGAGGGAAGAGGACGGACATGACCAGGGACCACGCACATGGGCCTTGCCTACCACGGATCATGCAGCAACCTGTGTACGTGCAGGCATGTGCCATGCCACCCTTGAGCAGGTGGCTCCAGCTGCGTGACACACAGGGGCCATGACCTGATAGCCACATGCATGTGTGAAGAGACCTGACACACTTCTGAACCCGGGACAGGACACAGCAGGACACCTTCCCTTCACACGACCCCTCTACACAGAGGCAGGGGACATCTCCCCCTCACCTCACTCACACTATACACAGCACAGGGGCATAGGTGTGGTCTTGGGGCAGCTCCCACTCCCTGGGAGAGCTGGACATTCCGACCATGGCCTCTGTGCAAGCGGGGGGGGGCTGGGCTTCATCCACTATGTCTCCAGGGAGAACTGACCACTCCTCCTCTTGCCCCACAGCCATACCAGATGCACATGCAGGGTGCACCACCTCACCGGGGACAGCCTCCCACACCCGCCCGCGGGCTCGTCAGGACCACCGCCACACGGCAGTGGTACTGGAACCAGCACCTGGGGGTCTGCGAGCCCTGCACTGCACCATCCAGGACTGGGTGCAGGAGGACCTGCAGCTCCGGCAGGAGCAGCTTGCCCAGGGCCATGCCATCTGCGAAGACCTGCAGGCCCTGCTGCAGAGCATTCTGCCTCCCAGGGATAACTGACCACTTCTCTTGTTTCTCCACAGCTGCACCAGCTGCGCATGCAGGGCGCACCACCCTGCCTGGGACATGCTCCCACACCCGAGGGCTCTGCAGACCCACCCGTGCAGTGGAGGGGTACCAACTGCAGCACGTGGGAGCACTGCAAGCCCTGCACTGCACCCTCCAGCAGTGGGTGCAAGAAGACCTGCAGCTCTGATGGGAGCAGCTTGCCCAGGGTCGTGCCATCTGCCAACACCTGCAGGCCCTGGTGCAGAGCGTGCTGCTTCCTGCTGCTCCAGCACCTGCTGCCTCCCCAGGTACCGCTTCTCCTCCCACTCCTTCTCCCCCTCTCACTTCTCCCTCTACACCCTCCTCAACCTCCACACCCTCCTCCCCATGGCCCTGGGGACGTCAAGGCCCCCGCATTCGCAGTGCTGGGAGACAGTTGGCCCGGCGAGACATCCACCACTGAGCTTCCCCTCTCCCTTCTTCCCCTTGCTTCCCCCTTCCAGCTCCCTCCTCCTAGGTTTCCCCCTCCCCTCTCCCACTCTCTCTCCTCCCCTCTCCAACCTCCTTTCCTCAGTCTCCCCAGAGTTTCATCCCCCCCCCCCCCCCCCCCTTTTTTTTATAAAAACAATGTAGACTAGCTGCCAGCAACTGGCGCCCTAGGTGAACCATGCAATCAGTACCCCCACCTTCAAACTCCTTCAAACTATATTGCGCCACCATTTGGCGCCCCATTTAACTTGGCGCCCTAGGCAGCAGCCACACAAGGTAAGTCCTGACCTGGTGCCCTGCCAGAATTGGTTCCAGCCAGTCTTAAATGCGATTCACAGTCCACTCAGTGTGGACGTGCTATTTTGAAATAGCAAAAAGCTATTTCGAAATGCATTTTGTGTATAGACGTGTTATTTCGAAATAATGCTGTAGTGGAGCCATACCCAAAGAAAATTATTCTGCTTAACCTCTGATGACAGGAGCAGAAGTATTGCAGCATGGGAGGTTTATCTTGGGGATTAGGAAAAACTTCCTGTCAGCGGCGATTACACACTGGAATAAATTGCCTAGGGAAGTTTTGGAATCTCTGTCACTGGAGATATTTAAGAGCAGATCAGATGAACATCTGACAGGGAGGATCTAGATGGTTCTTGGTCTTGCCAAGGCAGGGGATTGAACTTGATAACCCTTAAGGTACCTTCCAGTTCTAGTATTCTGCGATTCTATGTTTCACAAGTGTGTGTTGAATCCCTGTGAGTCCTAGGGGAATTCTGTAATTTTACCACGGCTCCAAATGCAATAATTAAAGAATTCCCCCAAGATTAACCTGTGACATACAGAAGTCTGAGAGGGATACCTGTGTTAGTCTGTATCTGCAAAAACAGCAAGGAGTCCTGTGGCACCTTAAAGATTGATTTATTTGGTCATAAGTTTTCATGGGCAAAGACCCATTTCATGAGATGCTGTGGCATACATGTTACAGACAGGGTCAAGGGTCAGATGTGTGAGTGTAACGCATATACATCACACCTATGACTTTGTTGTAGACAGGATTGTGTCATGTGTAATGTGTTACATGAATGGTGCACATGTGACTATGTGACACACATGCTGAATGTGAGACTGTTGTATGCATATGCACAGAGAGGTAGCCATGTTTGTCTCATTTTCGTCAAACAAAAAAGATTCTGTTATAGTTCTAGCCTTCACAGCCTCCTGCAGCAAGGAGTTCCACAGGCTGACTATTTGCTTTGTGAAGAAGAACTTTCGCTTATTAGTTTGAAGCCTGCTACCCTTTCATTTCATTTGGTGTCCTCTAGTCCTTCTATTATGGGAACTAATGAAGAACTTTTCTTTATGCACCCTTTCCACACCACTCATGCTTTTATAGACCTCTATCATATCCCCCCTCAGTCTCCTCTTTTCTAAGCTGAAAAGTCCCAGTCTCTTAAGCCTCTCTTCATATGGGACCTGTTCCAAACCCCTGATCATTGTAGTTGCCCTCCCCTCTCCCACC